GGTTTGTGTTTTGACCAAAATATGAGTTAGTTTTCTGAGGTGAAGTAGCTCTCCCAGTTGTTTTGGTGTGTGGAAATTGGTTATAAGCTGCCTTTATTTTACAGAGACAGCAGGTTTATTCTCTTAACTGTACATTGTATGCAGCTTGCTGTTCATCGTTTAAGTGAAAAGTCTTTTTAATGCCACCCTCTTCTCATCCCCAAAACAGATGTGAGGAACACAGATATGTATTCATTGGTTGTTAGCTGTCACAAAGACTCATAGCTGATCATGCCAACGCTTCACATGTGCTAGTCCTTAAGACCCTCAGATGGACAAGTGTAGGCTGTTACTGCACTGATACTTCTGTGTCTTGTGCTTGAACCTGTTTGAGGAATTTCACCCAGCAGCAGGTAAAGAAAGGCATATACACTTAACTGTGACCATTATTTGGGCTCCCACAGAGAAATGCTTTTGATTGTGTAGTTTTTATAGGTTTCACTTCTGTTGCACTTCATCCCAATGTTTGAGATGGACTATACCATAGTAAAATACTTCACGTTTCATTCCATTGCAATGCCATTTTATTTTAGATTTAAATCTAGATAATCTTAGCTGCAGCCTCCATTAATTTTCATGGGTTATCTGCTTCATGACCCTTTGTACGATGCAAAGCCTGGAATGGAGGATATGGTTGTATCTTTCCATTCTTGAAGTTCACTCCTAGAGGTGACTGTCTCTGCCTTTTGAGGAAAGGTGAGACTTTTCTCCCTGAGTCAACTCCTCTGAGCCATTCTTTGCCTTCAGTACCTGGGCTGCTAGGTGGAAATAGACCTCAACTCCCTTGGCAGAGTGTCCGCCCACTGGGCCTAAAGCAGCTGCATTCCTGTTGATAGTTCACTAGAAGGTCTGTAAAGCAGAATTTAATACAGAATCACATTTTTGGGTCTCTAGCCCCCAGACACAGCTAATTTTCCTGCAGATTATGTAAAGTGGAGGAAAAATAATTCTCTTGCAGGAGGTAAAATTAATTTTAGGATTGGAGCTGCCAGCTCCAAGTTGGCATTACATGGTTGGAAAAGCAGCTGCTTCAACAAATCTCTGCTGGCCTAACTTTCCTTCCGCTGTAGTAGCTCTCCTGTGAATTACAGTAAGCCCAGCGTTTCTCTAGCCAGTGTTGCCTAGGGTGGCTTGAAAGATGACCAAACTGCTGCTGAGGTGTTCTGAAGGGAGGAAGAAGGCAAAAGCAAATTCAAGGTAGTCCAGCTCTTCTTCTTGCTGTGGGTTCTCAACCCTGGGAGCTGTGAATGTTTTGCCAGCTTGTTGCACTGCTGCCGTTTCTGACAGCATGGCCCTTGGTGTAAAAGCCTGCTCTGGGACTGAACTGTGCAGCAAATCTGAAAGCAACCTCACCGGGGCCGTGCTGCCATGAATAGACCGAGTTCTGTGCTGCCACAGATCAGTTGTGCTTTCTGGTACAGGCCATGGTCTGTTACAGTGCTGGATCTGTGTGTTCATAAGGACCTTAAACCATCACAGTTCCAAAATAACTTTTATGTCATGTAGCTGTAGCTACATATCTCCAGCATTGCACTGTTTTCCTCAACAACTTTGACTTTGCCAGACAAAAATTCAGGCAGATAAGCATTCCCATTTGAATATTCTCAATCTTAGGTTATAGGGCACTAATAAAACAAGCATTATAGCAAACTGAGTTATAGTTAAGTTACTGAAGGAAGCATTTTTTTTCTAGATGTAAGAAAAAAAGAAGTCACCGTTTTGATCCTGGCTTCTGTTAATGTAGTAATCTTTCGTGTTTACTGAGTGCATGGATGAACAACGCTAAAGGTGGTCTTGTGTTGATTTTGAGTTTTATGATTGCTGCTGTTGCATACTTCTTACATGATTCTTAAGGCAAAAATTGTTCATCCTAAAATTCATATAGTTTTCAGGATTTTCATGAGCAGTCTAACAATCTGAATGTTTGTGATAAATAAGGAACATGAGTAACATGGGGAACAGACCCATCAATACCACTGCAAACAATGATCTAAGTCTTCCCTAATGCTTGAGTATATTCAGGGTTGGAGTCTGTGGGGTTTTACGGGTATTTTCCTTTGCACTACTCTTCGTGCTCCACAGGGGGGTAGCAAAAGGAAATAGGACATCTGTTAAAACTACTTCAGCGTGTCAGCGTTTACACCATCTGGTGTGAAAACCTTTCTCAGAGAAGTATTTGATGTGTAACGAAGGCCACAGAGCCTCTGCTTGTTGAAACAAAATGCTTGATGAGCCAGCTAAAATAGTGGTTAAACAAGTGAGGTCTCTATGAATGTGGAAGTTAAGAAAAAGGTAGAGTAAGAGACAGTTGGGTGTGTGTTGTGGAAGGGGGGTGTTGTACATTGAAGTCTGGAGGTTTTACTTGAGAAATTTTCTGTCTTTAAAAATAAAAAAAAATGGTGGAAGTGGTAAGTCATGCCAGAATGGTTCCAAATTTTTTTTTTCCACAATAAGCATGATATGACTTCTTCAACTTAAAAGTGAGACGGACTTTGCAATGACTGGTTACATTGGAGAAAAAAGAAAAGCAGTAGCATTTTCTCTGTGTGTGATAAATGGTGACATTATTTTTAAAAACCATTACTAAGCTTGAGGTTGTGAAGGCCCTGACAGTACAAGTTCCGTCCAAAGAGCTAGAAGTGTTCTGAACTCAAGAGAAAACTTGACTTGATTGAAAATGGAATTATCCCTAGAAAGACCAAAACAAGATACTTTCCAATGATGAACTAGAAACAAGAAAATTCAGATGTGTTTTTCTTTAGCTGGAGTATGAAATCACAGATGAGTTTAGTCTCAGTGAGAATATATATTTCAAATTACTTTTTTTTTCTTTCCCCTTTTTTACAAAAGAACTAGAACAGATGAGCAATGAGCAAGAACAAGAAATCGATGATTACTGAAGTATGACAGATAGGTGGTAATTGTGAGTCACTTCATGCTTCTTCACTACAAGTTGTATTAAAACACAGCACAGGACTTTTAGCCTGATTTCCTGAGGAAATACAATTTATTTTATTTAAGTGGCCCTTTGCTTTGCCTTCTCTTTTCCCTTTCCATTATGCTTTGAAACTGTTAGTCAAATTCACAAAAATTGGGAAAGACTTCATAAGAAAAGTAGGAGGAGGAAGAGTCTGTTAAGTTTCTACTTAGGGAAACGTTGTGAGTTGAATAAAACCTGACACCAGTGCATCTACACAGGGGAGAATTTGTGACCCAGCTGCAGGCAAAGTTTGAATGAGAACTTACACCTTCTTAGGTACCAGACAACCTAATTGTAAACATGTGAAGAAACCCAGCAGTGCTCACAGCAGGTGAAATTGTCAGCAGATTCTTTTTATTTCACTTGTGAAGATGGTATTGAGCTCTCCCCCTTTTCAGAAGCTGTACAGAGACTATTTACAGAAACAGGGAAGTTCTTAGATCTTGGTAAGTCAACACAAAGGACTTCTAATTTTAGGGACATGGTTTAGTGGTGGACTTGGCAGTGCTAGGTTAATGGTTGGACTTGATGATCCTAAAGGTCTTTTCCAACCTAAACAATTCTGTGATTCTGTAATTTTTGAATAAAGGTTTTCATTATTTTGTATGTATAATACTATATAGTAATGCCTGGTATTCGGTATGGCAGTTATGTATAGGACTCTTTTTTCCCCATGTAAACAAGCCTTTGTTATAATATGCATTATACAGGTATCTCTCACTCATTAAAGGCATTCCCAAATAACACCCTTCATTGTTGTATTGGGAATAAATTATGAATTGGCACATCTTTGTGCATTTTCCATAGATTTTTAAATTTGGTATCTTTAGAGAGGAGAATCATAGTGTAAGAAATTGGCAAGATAAATACAATTGTTTAAAATCAGCCATTTGAAATTTCCTGTTTGGGAAACTGTGCTGGGCATATTATGTTTTGTTGATCTGTAGTCTAGCCCCATCTCAAGCAGAAAATACATTTTGTAGCTGCCTAGTTAGTTTTTCAGACATGCTGTTAAATGGAATGTAATCTCAAGAAGACTAATGTGTACTTTTCTGTGTAAGATCGGAATTATTGGTGGAACTGGCCTGGATGATCCGGATATCTTAGAAGGAAGAACAGAAAAATATGTTGATACTCCTTATGGCAAGGTCTGTATAACTTTTTTTTTTAATTATTATTACTGAGGCTTTTTGCTGTTTTTAAAGATGTTGGGATGCTTTAAGAATTTTCAGACTGTTAAATGAATGCATAAAATGATGGCATAAATGTCAGATTGCTCCAGGAACCTTTCTGAATTGCAGAAAACTGACCCTTGAGGTATGTGGGCCACCATTTTCCCTGTAACCACTGAATTATGCTTTACATACCAATTCTCTCCTTACAGTCATGCTTACAACCACGTAATTTGAAACTGATTTGAAAATGAAGCTCTGAGACTGTTTTTGTGGCACAGGTATTATTGAGTATCTCTCCTTCATATTGCTTCAGCCCTCTTCCTCAGCAGAGGGAAGTGGAGGCTAGGAGTGTTGCTCTGTACACAGTGCCAAGTGTGTTCTGAAGGACAATTCCTGCCCCAAAGCATTTATAGTAGGAACAGGCAAGACGAAGGATGGGAGAGAGTTTTATAGGCAGGAAACCAAGGGGGAGAGAGGTTCTAGTTGACACAGGAAGTTCACAGCAGAACTGGATCTCCGATATTCTGTGATGTCATAAGGCCAGGGGAGTCTGGGTGCTTTATAATTGCCATCAGAATTACACCTTATGAAATCTACCGGTGTAAGCTAGTATACATACAACAAAGCATCTGGCATGTTTTTCACGATGAGGGTGGTAAGACACTGGAACGGGTTGCCCAGAGAGGTGGTAGATGCCCCATCCTTGGAAATATTCAAGGACAGGCTGGATGGGGCTCTCAGCAATCTGAGCTAGTTGAAGATGTCCCTGGCCATGGGGGGGGGGGTGACTCGATGACCTTTAAAGGTCCGTTCCATCCCAAACCATTCCATGATTCTATGTGGTAGCAGGAGCCATTTTATGGGTAGAAGCTTGCCAGAAAGCTCAGCATTGTGGTGTGTGATTGAAAATCTGAATCCATGCCTCCATTCAGAGTGACTTAAGGGGGATGTAAGCGTGTAAAGAGCAAGCGGAGTTTGTGTGCGCACCATTCAAGAAGGGGAAGGAGATAAAGATTAAGGGGGGAGAAAGATAATTAGAAAAATATGTTTTACTTTTCCATCATCCTTCAAAATCTGTTAACAAACTGCAAGAGAATGAAGGGAACTTGCCTCCTCCATTTTCTGTACTCTGCTCTCCAAACAGTAGCCAGCATTGGTCTGAAGTAGAATCCACTGGCTAAACCAAACCAGTTGCCATTGCATTCCCTGTTTTTTGAGTTACCCCTGCTGGCCTGTATCTCTTCTCTCTGCCTGTAGATCTGAACTCCTAAGAACTGGGGCCATCGGTCTGATGGTTGTTTCATGTAGATTCACTCCTGCATAGAATCACATTAACTTCAGTGTTTGAATGCAGTTTTCATCCTCATGGAGCAACTAGTGGATCAGCTTTAGTGTAAGATGTGCAGGGCTTAGACTGCAAGTTACAATGGCATAAAGTGCATTGAGTGGGTCAAGTTGATGGACTTCAGTCTGAAGCAGAAACAAACCTCACAAATGTAATTGGTATCATTAGGTGGATCAATGTTTGCTTATGTTGCTGGTGAGACTATTTAGCATTCAGGAAGGAGGTGTTACACAGCCTACCTTGCTCATTTTAGAACAACAGAGATGAGAGAAGCATCTATTGCTGAATGTGAAAGGGCAATTGAGAACTTCCTTTTAAGTGGGCTTGGAAAAGTTTAGAAGTTTGTCGTTTATGTTAGTATTTTTTTCTTAAGTCAGTCTTGTTCTTGATTGTTGCTGAAATAAAACCAAATTGGGATTTTTCTGCCATAAAGATGCTTTTTCATAGAGCTATGACATCAGTGGAGAGAGAATCTGTCTGCAATTTTAAGAACTAAGGACTTAATCTAAGTAAACTGTTGAGAACTTTGTGGTCTTTTAATTGCTGAGAGAATTAGAGATACAACATCAAGCCTACTCAGTTCAAGCAAAACTAGGAAGAATGAAAATTAATGTCTCAATGCCAAAAGAAAAATGCAAGGTATAGTTAAAAAAAATGTATGCCCATTTCATTTTATCCTGTACAAATGCAAAGTGTACAATTCTTTTTTTCTTAAATTTTTATTTTTAACTCTTTAAGTTTCTTGGCAAGGACATAGCCAAAAAGCTTTTAACTGACAACCTTTCTGGCGATGACATTCCTTGGCACCTTTGACATTTGACAACAGCAAAATAGATGTTTCTTTAGTGCTGTTTCTTTACTTTTAGAAGCAGAATAATAGCTTACATTTTGTTCATATAGAGTCCTTGAATTGTCTTCTGCTTTGGCCTTCTCAAATTGTAGAATCATTCAGTAACAAAACTCACATCATTAGGGAATGTGGGGATGTTCTTTTCAGGTGAAATACAGAAAAGTTTTTAAAGGAAACTAATATGAGAATTTTTACAGTTCTCTATATGGGCATTGGTCCTTCCATGATCTTTCAAGTTACATTAGTAGTACTAGTGAAAACACAGTACATTAGTTTTTTAAAAAATAAATACACTTACAGCTGTTAATACTCAAGCCTTCTTTTCTCCCTTGTCTGCTTCCATCATTTTCATTGCATCAAGAATTTGGTATTTTATGGAAAATACCCTAAAACCTTTTGGCGTTCTGTCTCTAGATACGGAAAATATTGTCCTCTTATAGGATAAGAAAATTGCTCGCAATAGCATTTATCTTCATCATTAGTTTTGAAACTACTAATAAAGCTTTGTTCAGAATATACTTTCAGTTAGGTTGTTTTACTTTCTGGATGACGGAACTTGATTCTGAATCGCCTTTCCCCAAATCAGCAAAGTATCTTCCTGTTCTAGAAAATTATTTTAGGTGCTCCCCTCTTTTTTGGTCCTAGGTATATCTGGCAAGCAAAGAGGGGGGGGGGGTTCCACCTTGCAAATGAGCTTTGTATGCTTGCATCAGGAAAATCAGACCATGTGACATAACACTTAAGCTTCTCTTCTGCCTCCCCAAAGCAATGTACATCATTTGGTTCCTGAACTAGATCATAGGTTAAATGAAGCCTTGGGGAACCTATGAGATACTTCTCCATCTCAAGTTTTCCTTAGATTTTTATTTGCCTTGTTCATTCTATTTTCTGTTCCAGCTTGCTTCTGAGGTGAGACCAAGGCAAAAATGAATTCTGTAAGCACCACATGAACAATACTTTATGCATATTTATGTTGCAGACAAAGGGGATTTATTTCAATTGTTTGTTACTGTCATAATTTAGGGTTAACTGCCCAGGGTTCTTTGCTTCCTTTTCTGTTTTGCAACACTGAGTAATATATATCTGACTTGGATTTTGTCGAAGGGGGAAGTAGTTAAATACGTATATGAATTATTAATGTTTGGGAACTTTTTATTGGGACTTTTATTAAATCCTGCTTTAAAAATACTCTATTACAGCTTTAAATTCAGATTGTTCTATTGGAAGTTTTTGTTATTTTATCAGCATTTCAAAGCTCCTGACTACAACTGAGATAATAGTAGAGAGGTACAGCACTGGGAAGAACTTGTGCGAGAAAGAGAGTGGAACGGAAGCATACGCTAGCTCTGTTACGTGGTTAACACATAGTTTGAAATTTCTGTATCTTTCACTTCCTTGTAACTTTACACATGCTGATTTATCCTTATTTCCTCTCTTTTAATGACCCATCATGCAGTATCTGCAAATTCTTTTCTTAAACTGTCAGTTCATCATTTAGCAGCACATTCTTTGTTCCAGATCTTTCTTTTCCTCTGCCATGTTTCTAGCAGTCGTGCAAGAAGGGTTTTCAGGCAGTCACCTGGAAGATGCCCTGAATGTGTTCTGTGATGAAAACCGGTCCTGTTACACGGCCACCCTGAAGCCTTTTGAAGTGACTAGGGTTGGCAGCAGATAGGGAAGGAAACCCTGGCTGCTGCAACTAGATTTTGAAGCCTGTTGGATTTCAAAGCTGTTGCATTCTTGCTGCATCAGCAGTGTATGCCAGAATGCGGTGGAGATCTGTGGTGGGGATTAATATCAAATAGCAGTTAAATTGCACCTTTCTACCCCAAATCTTTTGGAAATTGGTATAAACTTGAATCTGTCACTTGTAAAGCAAAGGGTCCAGTCTTCAACTTAGTGATCTTTACTTTTCATTTTGGTAGGAAGCAAGGAATTTTGGCTGAAGTTCTCTTTAGTTTTTAAGAGTATTTTGTATCCTGCTGTAAGCTAAGTTGCATGTGTGCTCTGTAAACAAAACAAACACAAAAAACCAAACTCCAAATGCTTATTATTGTGAACTGTCATTGTTATGGAATGTTGCAACATCAAAATGCCTTGGCAAGTAGACAGCAAGGTTTTCACCCTGTGTGAGCTTTCACTTTTAAAGCCATGTCTGGTTCAGAAGAGTATGTGTAAAGTAAGGTAAATAGATTAAGCATTTAAATGTCAATAGTTAATATTAAATGGGGACTTCTAAAAAGAAGGCAGAATACACTACAGTTCTAAAAATAAATATTCTGGACCGTTCCCTTTATTAAAAAAAAAGTGGTAAATCTGTCTGGCAGAATTTGAACCTATGTGATTGACTAAATTATGGTGCTTTGAAGAGATGTCACATTAAAAATGACAAAAAGAGCTGTTCAATAGGGAATAGAAAGTGATGTTTTTATTAGAAATTAGTATCTCTAAAATGCAGCTATGTGGGACTCACCTATTACTTTATTCTAGATCTCTGCAAATTTTCATGTGTGTAGTAGAATTAACAGCTGTAAAACTAAATTATAATTGAAATAGTGCAGCTAGCATTAAAATACAAATAAAATTATATCAGGTAGCAGGCAGCAGAATACTTATAAATGCAAATGTATGAGTCCTTCCAGACACTTGCAAACTTGTGATTAGTAAATAAATTGTAATTTTGTTAATAGCTATTTCAGCTTTAAATCCCAGGGCATGGAAGGAGAGATTGCCAGAGTGGCTACCAGCTTATTGCAGTGTAGTAGAAACTGTAAATAAAAAGAGTGAAATGCATGCAGTTCTGAATTGGGCAGGAGAAGCAGCACATCCAACTGCACCACTGTTCCGTACAAGTGCAGTTTAGTATCTAATTAAACAGAGGCATTACATTTTTTTAACAAAAAGGTAAGCTGGAGGCATTGTATATTTCAGATGCCTGATGCATATAGCCAAGGAGCAGAACACAGCCCACAGAGCAGTTAATTTGTTGTAGTGGTGGTTGATGACTTCGAAGCTGCCCCGCGTGGGCAGTGTGACCATCTCCAAGGCAGGGCATGTGCCCCAGCTGTGCAGCTAAAACCAAATGCTTCACCTACCTGGCTGGTTGGTTAGTCCACGGG